TAGTAATTCCCAAAGCAAGGATATCTACCAACCGCCCCACGTGATCAGATGTGGCACAAGGCCGAATTTAATGTGGGGTACCCGAGCCCGTAGGCTCGGCCAAAACTTACCCGTATAAAACGGGGTCGGGTAGCTGTTTCCCAAGACGAGACTCTACCCTTCGACATATCCTCATCCGGAGATCCTCTCTGACCGGAGGCAGATAGATTGACCAGCACAGCTGGAGAAGAATTTCCAACTCTAGAATAATTCCCGAAGCAAGATTATTTACCTTACTGATGTGGGGCCAAAGTTGGGATCACAGAAGGAAAACACGGAACACGGATTAGATGTAAGAAAGATATATTAACAACAGGTTACAGAGATAGGGTAAGCGGAGCTTACTATATGTTAGTGTCCAATACTGGTAGTCGTACTAGAATCTCACTGTCTCTCTCTATCACTCTCTGTAACTCTCTAGAGTGCTATGTCGCCTACTTAATATAGGCCTCGAAGAGTCTATTGTGTATGGTAGTTTCTGGTCTCACAATACTTACCTTCCGCGAGGCAGTATGTGGCACAATGTCCTTCGGCAAAGCCTCATCTGGGTTCCTCTCCGAAGGCAGACAGTCCGACCAGCACAACCGGAGACGAATTTCCAACTAATTGCCGAAGCAAGGCCCCAGGTATATTCTGTGCTCACTATATATATATATATATATATAGAGAGAGAGAGAGAGACAGAGACAGTCTACATAGGCGATAGAGAGTGTGGGACATTCCATTACAACATGTCCAATATGTATGAACAGTTACTGCATATAGTACAAGAAACAGAAGAATGTACGGTGACATTCAAATACACCAGACTCTATTTACTCATCATGTATACAATTAGACTCAACTCCACCTTACGCTACGCTTGCGAGATATGGGACTTGTATCGAAAAGACCTGAAAAGGCTTGAAAATTTCCAAGAAGCCAAGATCCAGTAGATCCTCACCATCAAATGGTAGGAGCGACGCACCAACAACAAAGTCCTAAATCGGTCACCGAGCATTGAAGCAGCCATACGCAAGCCCCAATCAGACAGGACATGTCGCCAGAATTGCCCCTTCAAGACGTCCGCGAACCATCCTTTACCGTGAGTTCGTCAACGGCAAGCGATATCGAAACCGCAGATTCATAGACCAACTGAAGTCTTCTCTCCATCGAGTAAGAATCATCCCTAACACCTGGGGAACAGAAGTCGCCGACCATCCATTCTGACGAAGATCAGATCGTTTCGTTTGCTCCACTTTCGAGGAGAGGTGAAAGACTGAAGACTGAAGAGGAAGTAAAAACAAGGCAATCCAAGGCCCGTCAAATCCAAACATGACCAACACCAGTCCTACCATGCCATCAGCGTCCATTCACGACTTGGCCTCCTGTGCCATGTTGGTTTCAGGCATCGTAGAGAGACCAGATGAACTAAACTCGGACACAAGTAGTGCCGACAACGACGATGTCATTAATAGTGCGTCTGTCTTTCTCTCTATCTATTCTCTAATTCTAGGGGTTTTTCACATATATTAGAACATGTCTTCGAAAAATTCAGCAAACTATTAAGAAACAGGAAAATTTCGTTAGAAGCCAAGAAAAGAGTATTGAATTTTCATGCAATATAGGTCCTCCTATATGGCAGTGTGTGGCACCATTTACGTGGCAGAGAAAGGAAAATAATGCAGTTACCTTGGTAACCAGGCGTTGGAAGCGAATTGGGAACGACGAGGCTGATATCAAATCTAACCAGATTCCCACCCGAATCACCAAAAGGTTAGAACGTCACATTTGGGTTCCGCGACCGATACCAAGCCAGTTGGTCGTCACAGGACGAGACAACACGACTGACGCGACAGGCGGACGTCACGTTTGGAGCACGGACACCCGAACGGAGCAGCGAGGAGCGAACAGCTGGCGCCGCGGCGAGGACGTCACAATTTGTGCCGTTTAGGGACGTCACAACTGGCGCCGTGGTAGATCAGGATAGAACGTCACAGTCGGCGCTGCGACCGGGGGACGACGTCACAAGTGAACGGTGGCAGATCTCACAGATAAAGTGACGTCTTGAGGTAACAGAAAATTGGTTCTCTTGGAGAATGCCGTGAATGTGAGTAACGAGGAAGTTTTAAGGAAAATTGAAGCAAAAAAGGATGCTTATACTTGGAATCAGAAAGAGACAGGTGAAATTTCTAGAATATATAATGGGAAAAGAAACATTGGAGAACTTGACCCTCAAGACATTTTTTTTTAAGCATTTCACCCCCCAAGCAAGGCGGGAAGCCACTAGGACGCAAGGGGTTACAGAAGATAGGAAGATCAGATAGGAGTGATAGAAGATAGGATGAGTTTAGTAGATAGATTAGGGCAACTGGAGATGTCGATTGACATTACACTTGAATAGCTGGAGATTATAACTCACAGGGAAACAGAAGGGAAGAGAGTTCCACAGGCAAGAGGTGCGAGACATGGAGCTATTAGAGAAGAGACGGCTACATTTAGGAGTTTCGACAGTGAAGGGTGAGAGCGGGATGCCAGCCTCGTAGGGCGCTTGAACTCATGAAGTCTGGGAACCAGAGGAATGCAGCTCCTCGGAGCAATTTCCATGAAAGTATTTGTAGAACAGACAGAGGAGGCGACGGTGCGTCTGTGAGAAAGTGACTGTAGACGGACGCCAGGGCAGGGGCCAACCATATTGTATATCCGCTTCGAGCCTATCAAGAACCCCTGAGGCAAACAAGGGGCGCCAGACCATATATGGCAGCAATACTCCATGCAAGGGCGAATTGTGGATTTGCATATCTGGAGGATCGACCAGGGAGAAAACTTCCTATGTGGCTCAGGGAGCCAACTTTCTCGCAGTGGACGAGGCAATTGACTCGATGTATTTATTCCATCTCAGGTCAGCAGTCAACGTGTGAGACCGAGAAGCCGCAGAGAGTTGCTCTCGAGAAGTTGAGCGTCAGACATTATAATGGAGGGAAGGGAAGCCTCTGGGATTAATAGAGAGCAGTTTTGTTTTTAAGCGTTGAAGTTGACCAGCCAATTATTGCCCCAGTTCACAATCGATTGGAGGTCCTTTCGAGACGCACGGCAAGGTGAGTTTTGTCAGCGAGACTAGACATATTGAAGACAAGAGGTACGCTGGGAAACAGCGAGTTATCGATCTAACAAACTGATGTAAATGGATGACAGAACTGTGTTGATGAGAGATGGCAAAAAGACAAAATATATAAAGAGCTACAAAGGACAGGAAATTTTGGAGAACCATGATCGTCAGCATCATGGAGGGACACTGAACAAGATGTGTCTTATGACAAACAAATTTGCAGTACAGGTTTTAAAAGTTTGTCTGGTTTAAAGAACTGTAGACGTTAAAAGCACTACTAAGACTTGAACGTGAAAGATGAAGGAAAGGCAAACCTTATTAAGAGCTACAGAAGATTAGAAGTTGTGGAGAGCCATTATCGCCTACGTCCTGAATGGGCACGGTTCATAGAAGAAGTATTTAGCGATATGTCGTATATGAGACTTATAGGGCAGAAATCAATTCCTGTCTGAATTTCTGGGATGAGATTTACATCACTTACCATCTTCATTTTGTTGACATTATATTAGATTTTTTGCCGACTGAAGTAACCTTTAGGGATTTTCGAAATTAAGCCTTTATTTAATTTACAAAGGTAGATTTTTCTTGTTGCGCTGTCAAATACTATAGCTTTATGTAGGGCTTCCCATTTTTTAAAATAATTTACCGATGGTTGTCAAGCCGCTTTAGGGAATTGTTTCTAAGCAACGTTGCATTTGAGCTTTTAACGCGCACGCTTTCGTATGTGTCTTGGTTCACTCAGCAATTTTCAGGGAATGCGAGAAACTTTATTAATAAACAGGTAATCGATTTCGTAAATTGCCTTTTAATTAATATCTTTTATTTTTTTTTAATTAGCATATCTAAATAAGAATGTTTTAAACGTTAATATCTATAATTATAACCGAAATTTCTAATCATGTACAAGATCTATCTATCTATCTAATTAGCAAACTCCGAAAATGTCGCTTTTCGTTTTTGTGTTGATTGTGCTTAATTACACGCATATTAGTTATAATTTTAAACATTATATCCTATCAATTAATTTTCAATTAAAATTATTTCACTAGAAAATAAAGAAAGACAAAATGTAGAACAATTTCATCAATGCTTATAACGATTAAAATCCCGATGCTTAAATGGTAAGAGAATTGGACTGTTTATGCATAGAGATGAGGTTCGTTCGAAGAATAAGCGGGATCCCCAATGTGACTCATATATACTGTCCATTGCTTAAGAGGCCGGAAAAATGGTCAGTTCTACGCATCGCTCCAGAAATTAGATGCCTCCTCCTGACATGCTCTATTTCTACAAGAGATTGATCAGTCTAAAAATGAATACAAAAATGAATAAAAGTGAATATAACGAAGCTGTTGGGGCCACCCGCGCTTCTCATCAAAATGGACTGATCTCTCTACTACTAATAGGACAGTTCTATAGAGTTCTGGGAAGATCAGGTGACCATCACACTTCCGTCTCTCTACCGGAAGATACAGTTGGACTTTATACTCTTTCTGATTGTTACTGACTAACCTGCGTTCGTTTGACTCCTAATCTCTCTGTTGTAAATACCTCTTCAGATATACCAGTATTTTTCCCTACGTATGTGTTTGTCCTTATTTCAATACACGCACGGGGAAACACTCAACATCTCAACAGAACCCCAAATGAAATTGGAATGAAGCTGACTGATTAATTCCGAGCCATTATCCATTACTTCAGCCGCCCACGCAAGCTTATAGCACCTGGTATTCTCAAGCGGTCACCCATCTCGGTATTAGCCAGGCTTGAAGTTGCTTAAAATAGTTTAAGTCAACATAAGATTGAGAAATAAAATACAAGAAAGAAAGAAAAATGGATAGCTTGCTACCTATTTAGCTAGCTAGCTAGCTAGCTAGCTAGATAGATAGATAGATACTGAGTTTGATAGAAAAATTCAAAGACCAACAGATAAATACACATGAAAAACTGAAATAGACAGACAGATAGATATAGACACACAGGCGCATGGATATGTACAGTATTTGATAGATAGATAGATAGATAGATATGAACAGACATCAATAGAAAACTCAGTAGATAGATAGATAGATAAGAATCGACTAAGAAATAAATAAATAAATAAATAAAGAAAGAAAGTGTTTGTGTTAAAGAGTTGCTTAATAAAGAGAATTCGCTGCACAAAATCTCTTCCCTTCATTTCTCAGATTAAAATCAGTGCGTACTTTGAACATGTTCTCTTTCAAGTCGCAACAAAATTCAATCTTTAAATAGTCGTAATTATTTCTACAATTAATCTGCGCACTTTATGGGAACATAATTAATACGAATTATAATAATATTTCCTTTTAATCATATCAACAAAAAGCTCGTCAGTTTATCTGGTTATTTTCTCAAAATGTCTTGGCGACAAGACAAGGAACAAACAACACTGTAGTTAAAACTGTGGCGAAGATAACGAAACATATCTTCCATACTTTTCCTGTTATGAGAGAGAACGATTCAGAGATATTAAAAGAATGGAAGTTATAGAGAGCTATGATAATATCCATTCCAAAGGGAGATAATTGAAAAAATAAGGCCGACCTCAGAGACATCGTAAACTCCATAATCCTTTCAATAGTGACATATAGTATGCGTCTTGCAAATGCTACATATGGTTTTTAATTCAGTGTTGTCCTTACACTTGATTTGTATCCATTTAAGGATGAAGTTCCCTGTCTGGTTTACTATTTAACCCACATCTGAAGGGTTTACACATTTCACAATTATATCTGCGCGAAAGTGAAAGTAACGGAAGTTGAATCGAACTCGATTCTTTCGATTTCTCGTTCGGTGATGATGTACATTACACCACCCGCACACCCTAAATCATAGGAAACTTAAAACTTTTACAAGGTTAAGAATTCAATTATTCAGTTTATATAGACATACATTACTCTTCTTATTTTTAACGTTATTACTTCGTGACCGGTTTCTGATATTGCTATTATTACTATGGTTGATTTATCAGGAAGGAGACTTCCTGATGTTATCGGACTAGAGGGGATCGATCCCAGCGTGCGTCACATTTGGAAAGTGCCTGAAAAACATACCACGGGTTGATCCAAGCCTTATGAGTAAAATTGGGTAGACGGAACCCTTGGGGGCTATCGGTAGCTGTGCTAGCACGAAGTCACAAGTCACCATGGCCGAGGGCTTGAGCGTCCTGGCCTTGTTCTAATTGTTGATCATGCTAGATAACACGCTCTTTCCCAGAAAATCTAGCTATGGCCTGCTCAGCAGTAGTTCCAGTATAAACCACAGGTGGGCTCTGTGGGTGTTGAATAAACATAATTTCGCCTGAGCAAGTGTCTGCAATAGGGATTAGCTAGCCGCTCTAATAGACCTCGAATACGAGTAGCCAGCTATACTATTACTACTACTTATTTCTACTTCTATTACATTTTTAATACTACTACTACTTTTTGTACAACTACTACTACTACTGTTTCTTATTCTACTACTAATTCTACCAGTACTGTTACTACTACTTCTGCTGCTACAGGTAGTTCTACTACTAATAATAACACTGCTTCTACTATGACTACTACTAATTTTCTTCTTCTATGTCTTTTTCTACTACTACTTCTTTATAATAATAATAATCATTCTCCGACTATTACACTACCTTTTATTTTTCTACTACTAATACTTCTTGTACTACTAATACAAGTACTACTACAATTCTACTTCATCTGCTGCTACTACTTCTACTAATATTACTACTAATTCTTCTACTATTGTTACTACAACTACTACTTCTTGTACTAATAATATTACTACTGCTACTACTACTTACTCTACTTCTTCGTCTTCCTCTTATTAGTAATGTTGTGCTATCGCTTATGGGGTTGTTACAAACTTTCAGTTCATTCGTTTTAGGGCGGAACTTGCTTAGTAATCTTTATTCGTCCAGGTGTTTTGTGTTCCATTCTTCTTGAAAGAATTCCTCAGCTTCGCAAATACTTTGAGTTTTTCTTGCGTTATTTATGTAGAAATTGATTCGTCTTTTTGTTCGTTGATTTGGCAAAACAATAGAGAAATGAACTTATATATATATATATATATATATATATATATATATTAAGAAATGGACAAGGTCCGACAATTTATTTATTAAAGACATATTTTATGTTTAACGTTGTTATTTATAGATACAAGTATTTAAGCAAATGCTCTGTTTATGATAAACAGTATTAAATAACATTTACCGGCCTGAATGTCCGAGAAATTTTCAGAAAATATTCGTTCTTTGACAAATTCGAACCTGCATCCAACTGTCATTTACGCTACGGAACCGTATTTTAAATGAACGTCTACCGAAAAGGTTCTCTGTGGCCCCAGAGGTAAGAACGTTTATAAGTTCAGTAAATGCAGGTTCGAATCTACAAAGAACAAATATTTCTATTGTGGCCCAGACCGGTAAATGTTCAATACTGTTTATCATAAACATAGGCATTTGCTTAAATACTTGTATCTAAAATAGCAACGTTAAACATAAAAAAACAAGTCTTAATAAATATATATATATATATATTGGGTTATATATATATATACACATATATTTATATACATATATATTTAGAAGTTAATATATATGTGTGCGTAATAGGAAAGAACTGTTAGATTGATGATCCGAAATTCTTTAGTATTTTGCTTTTATTTAAAAAAAAACAGTGTTCGACACAGAAGTAGAGCCTAGATATACTGCTGAGCAGTTTCAAAACATAGTAACTTCTGTGTCGCGATGGAATCATATTTTTTTAAAATAATTATTTATATATATATATATATATATATATATATATAGAGAGAGAGAGAGAGAGAGAAGGATGTATACATACACATATATATATATTTATATATATACATATGTATATATGTATGTATACGCAAACGGTGTATCAAAAATATATTTACAAAATTTGGGGACGGGTTCCTTACACCAAAACAAGGTAAAACGTCCATATAAATATATATTGTTGTGGTAGGATCCACCTAATTTGCATAGTGGAGTACCGACCATATAAATATGGTTGGTACCGGGAAGACGGGGAAAGGAATCAAGAGATTCAATCAGAGACTCTGCCCGACTGCGACTAAGTCAACCCATTCTCCAGGAACGGTCTTACCAGGAATATACAAAAGACTATATGTATAAATATTGTACACTTTCTTGTTTCAATACATTTTATTCTAAAAGTACCTTTTGTGTTGCATTATTATTCCATGCATTAGTCAAGTTTCAACATATATCCAAAAGGCCATCGGTGTACCTCAACACAGCAACTCATAACAAATGTTGAAAATGTCTTCTTTCTTGCTTCTACACACCCGTCGTACCATTGACTGGCGGACCCTTTCAAATACTCCCACACGGTGTCAAATAGTTTCGCAGACTTTTATGACACATTGATGAAGCGTTTCATAATTATTATTGGAGGCCACGGAACCGGTCTTCCCCTACCTATGCATCTTTCGTGGCAGATATCCCAGTGCATTGCGAACAATGGGATTAACATCTGCTGGAGTCGCATCATGCATGAGCAACATGTGTCTTCATATTAGCAGGGATGCATCCTCTAGCAGGTCTAGAAGTTTATTCGAAATAAAGTTCCTGTAAACAGCTTCTGTAAGACTTGCTGGGAGATCATGTGGACGTATGTAAAAATCATATCTCTCTGCTCACGATATGAATATCCAGCAATTGTTAAACGGAACACCTCTCATCACTACACACGTTAAACGTTGTGACAGACTAGCCACAAATTTACACGAATGATAAATGTAACATAGCCTACAAGGTAACACGACGTACTTTAAACTTAATAGCTCAAAACGGAAGGATTTGCTGACATATATTTGTATGGACTTTTGACCTTGTTTTGATATGGGGAACCCTCCCCCAAAGTTTGTAAATATATTTCTAATACACCCCAGATAGATAGATAGATAGATAGATAGATAGAAACTGATTGGGATAGATAGATAGAAACTGATTGGGATAGATAGATAGATAGATAGATAGATAGATAGATAGATAGATAGATAGATAGATAGAAACTGATTGGGATAGATAGATAGATAGATAGATAGATAGATAGATAGATAGATAGAAACTGATTGGGATAGATAGATAGATAGAAACTGATTGGGATAGATAGATAGATAGATAGATAGATAGATAGATAGATAGATAGATAGAAACTGATTGGGATAGATAGATAGATAGATAGATAGATAGATAGATAGATAGATAGATATAGATAGATAGAAACTAGATTGGGATAGATAGATTGGGATAGATAGATAGATAGATAGATATAGATAGATAGATAGATGAAACTGATTGGGATAGATAGATAGATAGATAGATAGATAGATAGATAGATAGATAGATAGATAGATATTTCCCTTTTTACTTTATTGTCTATCACTGCTCTTTTATCTCACACTTTCCCCTTTTACCTTTCTTTCTTTCTTTGTCAGTTAAATTTTTTCTTTTCTCTTTTTCTCTTCTTTGTTTCTGTTTAATGTTCATTTTTATTCTTTCTTTCCTTTCTCTTTCTTTTTCGTTTTCTCTCTCTTATTCTTTTTCCTTGCTTTCCTTTCCGCTTTCTTTCCTCGTTTCTAATTTCTTCTTAACCCTATTTTCATTCACTCAGCTTTTGCTCTTTTTTCGCTTCCCTATTCTCTCTCATTCTTTTCAATTCGTTTCTTTTCCTCACGTATTCTTTCCCCATCTTTCATTCTGTCTTCTAATTCCTTGTTCTCTTATCTTTCTCTTTCTCTCGATTATTTCTTTCTTTCTTTTTTTCTCTTTCTGTTCTTTTGTTTCTCTCTTTCTTCTTGTTTCCGTTCTGCTCTTTCGAAGTTGACGAAAAGAAAGAAAAATGAAGCAAGAAGCAAGTTTGCAAGAGGCCCTGCGAAATAAAATATCAAACTTTTCACTCGGATGGAAAACGAAAAGCCTTGAATCTTCCGTATCGAAGACCGGCCATAATAATAATTATATGGAGGTGCCTCGACGTGGTGTAATATTTAACAAGCTTCTCTCGCTAGATCGATTACGGCTGAGTATCGAGTTTGTTCCTCATTGGATGTCCCGTATTTTGATCCTTTTGCCATATCTAGCTACGCTTACAAAATCGCCATAATAACAATTATATGGACAGACACAAAAGATAAAGCGAAATATATAACGAAATATTAGGACGAGTCCTAAATAATTTCCGTTTTTATTGATCCGGAAAATAAGTTTCTCACATCCAGTAGCGGTTATCACACTTTCCATTATTGATGTGTGTTTCCTTCCGTATCATTTATTTGAAGTAATGTGGAATATCAACATCCTGATCATGTTATTAGTTTCACTTCGACTTACATGTGCTAGCCAGTTTAGTTATTGCTCTTGATAAATGTCCTCAAGTGATGTAGCTGTTCTTATTTCGTTCTGTTCTTTGTAGTTCTATATCGCCAGTTCACGATGATCGAAAGACAGTTTTTCTAAGGCATAAACTGTCGAACTTACATTTGGGTATCGATCTCAGATAGCTGTTGTAAAAAAAAACCATTAAATAAGCGTTGACTATCATCGTAAAGGATCCATTAAATATGTTTAATATTATAGTAAAAATCACTCTTAAACGTTTAACAATGTCGTAACGGACGCATTTAACATGTTTAATATTATCGTAATAAATAGCTTTTAAATGTTAATGTTATCGTAAAGTATCTATTAAATTTGTTTAATATTATCTCATAAATAACTTTTAAACGTTTAATACTATCGTAAAGCACTCATTTAATATGTTTAATATTATCGTAAAAAATCACTTTTAAATGTTTAATACTATCGTAAAGGATCTAATAAATATGTTTAATATTATTTTAAAAATCACTTTAAAATGTTTAATACTATCGTAAAGGACCCATTAAATTTGTTTAAATGATGGATCTAATATGTGTTGAATATTATCGGAGGGATACGTTAAATAATTTTAATAATATCGTAAAGAGTCGATTAAATTCGTATTGTATATTTTCGTAAGAGTCATTATTTATAATGATGACACATTACGCAAATTGATAAGAACTTTCGGTATTATTATTCTGAGATATTTCAAAACGACCCAGTTTCTGATTTTTTTACAATTCACGAGGAATCCATTTAATTTTTCGATTTTTTTCCCGCCAAAAATGACAGGAAAGTATAATAGAAGAAACAATATAGCTTACTGAACAAAAATGAAATTGTTGTCGAGGGAGCATTTGAAATATTTCATTGGTTTTCGTCGACGTTCATTTTCAAGATTCTCACTTCTAGATCGAAATTCCTGAAAGCTTCATTGTATTATTCGCTCATTATATAGAAGTAATGTTCTTCTTGCTTTATTTCCACTGAGCCCAGATTTAAACTCGTCTAAACAGAGTAGTTTGTTTTTAGCACCATAAAATATAAAAGTTTACAACAATAGATGATACAATATCATTCCCGCCTATGTAGAACCATTTTGATGAAACCAAATCCTGAATTGCAGAGTATCCGACATTTGATGTGGTATAACTTAATACAGAAAGACATAAGAAAATTAGAATGAATGAAAGAACGGAGAGAAAAAATAAATCAGATGTATTCTCGGGGAAAAAAAATAACATATCAAATATCTGAGAAAGGAAACAAGAGGGGTGGAGAATAATGAAAGGAAAGAAAGAACGTTGATGAGGCTGACTTGAACGAGAATAGTGAACAGCGTCTAACAAAAAAAATAATAAAAAGAAAGAAATATAATGAAAAACAAGATGGCTGAAATGAACAGACGATTTGATAGAAAAATGAAAGAAAAGAACGAAGAAAAATAAATGAAGGGCAAAGACAAATAAGCGAATGAAGACGAAAGAGATTTAGATTTAAAAGCAATGAGACCGACGGTAAAATTAGAAAGAAAAAAAAAGAAAGAAAAGGAAGGAAGGTTTTGAAATCACACCAAAGATAAGAAAAAAAAAAGAAAGAAAAAAAGAAATGAATACAGAAAGTAAAGAACGTAGTGAGGGGGGCAATAAAGGATTCAAGAAAGGAAAATAAAGAGGGACTGATATGAAGAAAAATATTTTAAAAAAGAAGGAAAGGATATTGTAAGTATGAGGAAAAAGTTAAGTCTAAGCGCGTCGAACGAAAGAAGTAAACAAATGAAAGAAAAATGAAGTTGAAAAGTCGGCAGAACGAAAGAAATCTGGTAAGAACAAAATTGAAGAAAAAAAACAAAAAAAGGAAGAATATTGCAGAAAGAGAGAAAGAAAAAAGGGAAGATAAAAATGGACAAAAGAAAAAGAGTAAGGAAGTAAAAAATAAAAAAAAATTACAAGTAAACAAAGCAAAAAAGGAAAAAGAAAATGAAAGTAGAAAAAGAAGAAAATGAAAAAAGGAAAGAAACAAGTATGAAGGAGATATAAAAAAAAAAGGAAGGGAGAAAACGAAAGAAAGAGAAAAATAAGAGCAAAGAAGGAAACGGAATAAAAACACGAAAAGAAAAGAAAGCAACTAGAAATATGTCTAGAGACGGGACAACAAGGAATAATGCGGGGGAAATGGCGGGAAACTAATTAAGGCGGGAAATGTTCGGAATGTTATCAGCTGCGCGAAAAACAGTTACACCTTTCGCATCTGCTGCCACTACGTCATAAACATACCTCATCAACAACAACACTCATAATCATTGCTAACACCGTCATTTCCTTCTTTAATTTTGCCGCCATTACTTCTGATTTCGCGCCATTATACTCTCAATTGTTACTTTAACTATTAATATTATCCACTTAACAGTTGCCATCAAAGCCCTTAATCTTTGCCGGGCTATACCACTCAGTACTAACTTCCATAACATCCTCTCAATTTTTTCATTCACTCAGGAGTTAAGTTCGATTAACAACACTTCAATCATTCTTAATACCATTTTCATTAATCTTACCACCGCTTATTCAATCACCATACCACTCATATCCGAACGATTAAACATACGCCAGCACATTCTCCTTGATTATTACACGACCATTCTTTCAATCATTTTCCCCATTAGCCACAAAGGAAGATATTACACAAGTTTAGGAGATTACTTCTTTTCCGTTTTTTATCAACTTTCGCTAAATCATAAGAATCAAAAGCATTTCACTGTATATGTGCTATAGCCAAAGCTTTTCGTTACAAATTTGCTAGTGCATAATGCATTCCTATGCATATTTGCCCGGAGAAAAGATTTTCTTTGCATATTTATCAACAAGAAAACTATCTGTATTTCTCAGATGAGGTATTATGCACACTATTTACATTATTCGGACAATTGTCCTCATCTTTGTCGCCATATTAATTACAACGTTTCGGTCGTTGTACGCTCCGGCCTTTTCAGTTGGTTGCAATGTCGAACTGAACCTTTTATTTCGCTCATTGGGGTAGACTGTTACGACCAAAGATTTTCGCCGCATTATCCGTGCCTTGGGAGGATATTGGGCCGCAAACTTACACCCGAGCTCAAGTTGAATTCTTATATACGATCCATCGCTAAAGATGCAAGTAAAATGATTGATTCCCTGTAACGCTAGAGTATTGTCTGGTATCACTTAGTGCTCATTCCGTCTGAAAATGCTGACCGTCAAAGCCAACTATATACCTATATTATTTAAATTGTCGTCGGTTTTATCTCGTATCCAAGAATTTAATTTCTTCTTTGATGATTGCCCCCTTTATGATGATGGCATTTAACAGACCAATTCTTGCATGGAAGAGTCGATGGCATTGACTGCATGGTAATGTTACTGGACGACGAGGTTGATTTTGTCGTTTTTTTTTTTAAATTACTGTTTGATTACAAGTAGTGTCCGTCGCGAGACGCGGACGTCCCGTGATATGGAACGCCACTGTTTTTGAATATTCCTAACGTAAATCTAACTGTAATAATATTTTAGATGTTGTTTAAAAAAATAAAAAATTTTGAACTATATCTAAAAAATGTTTAACTATTGAAATATTTATAAAGATTTAAAATACCCAAGTCTTTATATAACCCTAGTTTATATGTATTTAAACAGTAATTTTAATTTATTTGTAACAAACAGTTATATCTGAAGAAAGATTGAGGTCAATCTGAAATATCAAATATATATATAAATAAATAAATACTTTCATAAAATCATTGTTATTTTTTTTATTTTGCAACTTTTTCTATATATACATATTAAGAAACTATACGTGGATTCTCATTATGCTATATATATATATATATATATATATATATATATAGATAGATAGATAGATAGATAGATAGATAGATAGATATGTAAATATATACTTAATATGATCATCCACTGTTTCGTTTCGTCAGTCTAGCTAGACATCCGTTTGCTTCAAGCCGGGATCGAAATTCTATCGATATGGCATCGGTCGGATATCCTACCCTAAGCTAACGGCACACGGCAGAGAGGAAGGAAAATTCTAACGTATTGCATACGAATGTAAACAAAAACCAGTAGCCAACAGTCTTCAAATCATATATATATATATATATATATATATATATATATGTGTGTGTGTGTATGTGTGTGTGTGTGCGTGTGTGTGTGTGTGTGTGTGTGTAAGATTTCACATAAAGTTAAAATATATCTGTATAAGGACAATATGAATTAAGACAAAGAAAAAACTAATAGCCGACCCGTTTTGTCCTCTGATAGATTTTATCAATGCAAATATAAGGATTTTCTTTTACAAGTATTTATATCTTCAGTCAGTTCCATGTGCGACACACGCTTATGCGATCATGTATCTTTCGATATATGACTAACGAGGTAGATTTTTTTTCCTGCAGTAGGTTGCCATTTCTTTCTGCGGTAGACCAGTTGCCATCCAAGGCTACAGAAACCCGGTCTGTCCTGCTATTTACCCATAGCTGAAGAAGTGGAATCACACCTTTCCCAAGAGTATTAGCACGTAAGTGAATGTAATGGATTGGACTGGAATTCGAACTCGGTTATCGATTACTCCACCGTTAGTTTTTCAAAGTTAGTTTTTTTTTGTTTTGTTTTTTAATTTAAGAGACGCCCATGATACTTCAACTTAACTGAAAAGTCTAGGTAGATTGTGGGGGGTGCTAAGTGATGTAATTTAATGTTAAATAAATGAAAGTGATTGAATGATGTTGAAACTTCCTATGCAATTAATACTTAATTATTATTAAATTTGTATTTTATATATTAGGTTGGTGCAAAAATAATGTCGTTTTTTGACGTTCAACGACATCATTTTTGCACCAACCTAATATTTTAAATAACAGAAGGTTATGAATTTAAACATTTTCTTTTAAGTTTTTAACATTTTTATAGTCATGTCGGTTCTCTTGGTAAAGAAGTAATTCCTTTCAGCGATGGAGATTTTTTTTAAACATCTGGGATGCAGATTTATGCCTTGGTAAGATTGGATAGCGTCATAATATATAGTCACGTGTCACGTATAATTCTTTAAGAAGGAAATACTTGGAAAAATTAATGATAACATTATTACCAACTATAAACACACGCCTATAACATTACATTACTTCTCCATTTTTCTTTGAATCCAAAGAATTTAACTGATATTTTTCTCATACAAAGAATACATGCTTAAAAGATTAGCCAAAGATTAGAATAAACTGTCTCCCCGCTGTGCTGGTAAACCGCACAACGGTGAAGACATTATAACTCCTACTAGACAGACACACATAATGCCATTACGTATAATATGTTATTATCCGATGCCCACTTACAAGAAACTTCACAAACTTATATATATATATATATATATATATATATATATATATATATATAGTGCTGTTCGATAAAAATGACTCACCTGATTTTTTTTACTAAAATTTTTTTGTCTATTGTTTTTGGCGTTAAAATAATTTTTAATCTTACTAATATAAATACCCCTTCCTGACCACCTAGGAAAAAAGTTTATTCACCCTAAGGTATTCTATTGATAATTATAAATTTGCATATAAATGAGATTCAGGAAAAAAACTCTGTGCAAAAAAGTGACTCAGATATCGCATTCTAATGATTAAACTCGTAAATTTAAAGAGCTTTTGACAAAATATTGAAAACTATTTTACAATACACTCAGAACAATATTCTATTGAATTCTAGAACAGCTTAAATTAAATCTAGAGTATTCCAGAATATTCCAGAAAGCCTCATACAGTATAAAAACAGCTTGAAATAGTCACTCAAATCACTAACCAGATGAAAGGGTACAAACACGCATCAGAACCACTTAAGGCATTTATCATTGCCATCTCAAAAGCAGGCAAGTCTACGAGAGAAATTGCAGAAATTGCTATAACCTCGCAATCAACTGTCTCACGAGTGCTTAGGGTATATAATGATGCCATTCCTGCTCAAAGGAAGGAAACAAGGGGACGAAAGAAAAAGATTGATGATAGAACTGGCAGGGTAATGAAGAGAGAAGTTGCGAAAAATAGGACTATAAATAGCCAAGAAATTGCAGCCAGTCTAAGCGAAGAGCAAGGTGTTAGTTTTGCCTCTTCAACAGTCTGTCGGTGGCTGTTAGAACAAGGCTACAAATCTTGTACACGAAGGTTTAAGCCGCTAATAAGCAAAGCCAACAAAGCCAAGAGACTTGAATTGGGCTCACTATTTGTTGTGGTAGGATCCACCTAATTTGCATAGTGGAGTACCGACCATATAAATATGGTTGGTACCGGGAAGAGAGGGAGGAATCAAGAGATTCAACCAGAGACTCTGCCCTTTTTGTTGATTATGTGACTTAAATACTTAATTTCCTCCAAACCAAATTCGCACTTTGACTCTTTGACATTAAAACCAAAGTCCTGAATCTTTTTAAATACTTGATTGAGATGCTCTCGATGTTCGTCGACGGTTTCGCTCCTTACTATGATGTCGTCTAAGTAGGCGCACGCAAAGTCTAAATCATTCAACACTATTACAAAAATTTCACCGTAGAAGACTGGAAGAATGTTCTCTTCTCCGATGAAACAAAAGTTGAGCTAAATTCAAAGGATAAGGTGAGTCACTTTTATCGAACAGCACTGTATATATATAATTATATACGGTTTTAATGCAGGAATACGTGACTGACATATGAAAACTATCCAAATAAAATTGAAAATGTGAGTCTTTTTTGTCTGTTTTCTCTCAATCTGTTATACTAAATTATATACGTAAATTGATGAGGAACACTTTTATCGGTTCAGATAATGGGATCGTTTGTCAGGATATTCTGATGAGAATTTTGACGGGAAAAGAATACGATTAAAGCCACGCATCGTATAAACTATACGGCACTGTCTGTCTTGGATACATTCTTGCTAAATTCTTTAGTTGTCTGATGCGAATCTTTGAGTCGCCCAATTCTTCTGAGAAATCGCCTTACGTGTCCAGCCGAGTGTTTTAGGTAACTTGAAAGAGCCAATATCCTCATAAAGTTTTAATATTCTAGAAATTATACACTTAGATATATAAACTTCTTTTGCAGGAGCACGAAACGTTATCCCCTGAGATTTCACTGTAGAAACCCGACGCCTGAGTGATTCATCAAATTTGCAACGTTTTGTAATCGGGTTAAATAAGACAACAACGTTGGAGATAAATAACAAATATTTGTTTGCTCGTTGATATCACCATATTTCCT